GTAAAATGTCCTTTTAGGAAGCAGTTTCATTTGCTGTTTTCATTTGTTTTGTTCTGGACTTGGTTTTCTTGTTAATGGCTTTGTTTATAGTTTAAGTGCATTGAAACATTGTGATCTCATTCACGAATGAGGAAGAGAAAATAATTATCATTGAAGTTAATAGTTTTGTTGTTGAGAAAATGAGTTGTGTTATAAGATGGAAAGTGAGGAACTGATGGTGACGGATAAATGTATTATTATTCGGGATTGATCCCTGGAATCATCATTTTTATAGAACATGATAATTCGAGAAAACTATTCATTATATGAGGACTTTCAGAAAACTTATGCTGAAACCCTCCACCTCTTCTTGTTTTGATTGACAATATCAGCAGCCTAGTGATGGAATGATGATCTGCCACCAGACTATTTTACTCTAGTGCTTCATATAATGGGCATGTTTTATGTTGCAGGGTCTCTTCCTCTTCCCTGGTCCACCAGAATGAAAATTGCTCTTGGTGCTGCCAAGGGCCTTGCCTTTCTTCATGAGGAGGCTGAAAGACCAGTAATATATCGAGACTTCAAAACATCTAATATCCTTTTGGATGCAGTGTGTGACTCGAACGATGTTAATAATTTCCTTTTTATTTTTCCATGTATCATCCCTTGTCTAAGAGTTTGCCAACACCTTTCCAGGATTACAATGCCAAGCTTTCTGATTTTGGACTAGCCAAAGATGGTCCAGAGGGAGATAAGACTCATGTATCAACCCGAGTGATGGGAACCTATGGTTATGCAGCCCCTGAGTATGTGATGACAGGTGAGTAGAACAGACAAACAGCATGAATGGCATTAACCCTCCTTTCCTCTCCCAACATGCAAAATCCCCAAAATTATCTGTTTAATTTTCTATTAGTTTGAAGAATTATTTTAAGACATTGGATATATGGTGCTGGGATGTTGTAGCAATAGATCCATGATGTGTTCAGCTTTTATTCACTTCAACAACCATGTGTCTATACAATCCAAGTAATTTTTATTTTATGTTCTTTTCCTGGTCCATCTAATGGTTTGACATTTTAATGGTGATTCTTTTTTCCAGGGCATCTGACATCTAAGAGTGATGTCTATAGCTTTGGGGTGGTTCTCCTTGAGATGTTGACAGGCCGAAGATCCATGGACAAAAACCGACCAAATGGGGAGCATAACCTAGTGGAATGGGCTCGGCCATATCTTGGAGAGAAACGAAGGTTTTACCGACTTTTGGATCCTCGCCTTGAAGGACGCTTCTCAATCAAAGGGGCACAGAAAGCAATTCAATTGGCCACCCACTGTCTTGGCCGTGATCCTAAAGCGAGACCTTTGATGAGTGAAGTTGTTGAAGCACTAAAGCCTCTGACGAATCTCAAGGACATGGCTTGTTCTTCATCTCACTTCCAGGGCATGCAAGCAGAGCGTGTGGGATCCATTGCAAATGCTAGAATTGGTGGTAGAGTGCAAGGTGGTTTCCCATCAAGGAATGTTCGACCAAGCAGGAGCATATATATGCCAAATGGGCCACATGTTTCTCCATATCACCATAACCAGCAACCTGATGTTGGACAATCTTCGGGTTAAGCCCATGTCTATTTCTCTGCCTTTTCTTATTTCATTTATGTGTTTCTGCATGGAGAGTGCGTTAGTGAGCTTTGGAAGTTGATGCTGATAAGCCTGATATGTTCCTTTTTTAGTAGAAGGACGTTAATAGGCTCTGCACTGGGGAGAAACATTGAAAGGGTTTTTTTTTGACATTTTTTGTATCTTATGAGTGTTTAAAATAGTTAATGCCCTTTCTTTAGTGCTTACCTTACATATTCTATGCTATCAAGGTTGATGCAAATTATGGACAACAGTTTCTGTGGTACAGCACTACAGCATGATGCCAATCAGGATCGACTTAAAAAGGAAAGAAAGAAAAAAAAAAAAAGAAAAGGGAATGTTGCATTTTTGGAACTATTTTCCTATTTGCATTACAGCCAATTTCTTCTGTTGAGCTCTGAACCTAGTTTCTGTGCATTCATATGTTTCTGTAAAAATGTGTAATCATGGTATCATTATTTCTATTGGGATAGACACGAAACATTGTAGTCTTTGGAGTCCCAGAATTTCCTCACGAATTTCATTTAAACATTTCTAATTACAAATTGCTGCATGAAAAGGGACAAACTGAGCTAAAAAGAAGATAAGGAAAGAAAAAAAAATGATGACCCAGAGGATACTTGTATCTAATTTGAGGGAGAACCATGATGCTTATCATGATAGCCTGAAAATTCGATTGAGATTCTCTTCCATTTTCCATTCCCAAATCACTATTCACCAACTCCAATAAAGAAATAGCTGGAAAAGGCTTTGGAAGTCGTCTTTGGCTGGTAACAAATTGTTGGGACACAAATTTCATTGTTGGCCTGAACTTAGGTTTTGCACGCAAGCAAGCAAATGCAAGCATAGCAGCAACCGCAATATTCTGGGTAACATTTTTGCTTTTAGGAGGCGATAAACGCGTATCTAATATGTCACTTAGCATCACATTTTGCAAGGAAGAAAGTGATGATGACAATGTCAGTAGTTCTCCAGGATGCCTTCCCATCAATACTTCTAATGCTACAATCCCAAAGCTATAGACATCACACTACTCGGTCACATCTATCGTATAGGCAAGCTCTGAACAGAAAATGCACATAATGTTTAATATGTCAATTCAACGGTAAAGAATGAAATAGGAATAATCATGGTGATGAAGAAAACCTGGGGCAATATAACCATATGTGCCAGCAAGTACAGTATGATTGGAAGAATCAAGATCCAAAAGCCTAGCATTTCCAAAGTCCGAAACAAAAGCCTCCATTTCCGAGTTCAATAGAATGTTGTTGCTTGATATGTCTCTATGAAGGATGGGTGGAATACAGTCATCGTGAAGATAAGACAAAGCATGCGCTGTGTTTTTTATGACATTCACCCTTTTGTTCCAATCTAGCTCTGCAGCGTCTTCGTCATTTTTGAGCACACAAAACAAGCTCCCTCTTTCCATGTATTGATAGATCAAAAACATGCACCTCCTGTGCAGGCAGAATCCATGAAGCTTCACAATGCTCTTATGTTGTATTTTTGTTAACATCTTGACCTCATTCCTGAAACACTTATCGAAAGTTGGATCCTCTGCTTCCCTTCGATGAAGTTTCTTCAAAGCAACTACTTTGCCATTTGGTAAGAGTGCTCTATAAACACTTCCATAACCACCGGTACCAATGCAGTATCTGATATCAAAATCCTCAGTCGCTTCAATGATGTCCTTATATGCAACCCTTCCGTCAAAGTTCCATATTGAGAATATATCCCCATTTTTTGTTGGCCTTGCATCTGCTTCCTTACTTTTAGCTCTATGTATTCTTCGGTAAAGCAACAACAATGCAAGAGATACCAAGGCAAGACAAATGGTGCTGACAAGAATGATTTTAAGATGTCTCAACAATGACTCATGTCTCGATTTTTTGCTGCTTGTTCTTTTGTGTTCAGTGAGCGATGTTGAGCCAGTAAGTTGTTCATTTACTAAATCCTTGTTGCCAGCGAAAGAACTTGGAGGAAAACGACGCAAGTCATTTGGGACTTGACCCGTAAAAGAATTGTACGACAAATTTAGTTTATCTTCATTCAAACTATGTGGCAGATGGGGAATAGAGCCAGAAAGATTATTGTAACTAAGATCTAATGCCACCAAATTTGATAAACCCCCAAGTTGAGAAGGCATTTCTCCACTAATGGAATTATGGCTAACATCAATTACTGAGAGCATAGAGAGATTGCCAATCTGAGGAGGAATACTTCCATTTAAAGAGTTGCGGCTCAACAATAACTGTACTAAGTCGGAGCAATACCCAATCTGAGTTGGGATTGGTCCACTCAATCTGTTTTGGGAAAGGTTCAAATATGCCAAAGATTTCGAATTCCCAATATCTCCAGGTATCAAACCTTCTAAAAGATTTGAGCCAAGACTCAAGGATTCCAAATTAGTTGAATGAAATAGAGTGGGAGGGATTGGACCAGTTATTTTGTTGTTTCTAAGACTCAGTATTTGCAAATTGTTTAGATTTCCTAATTTCGGTGGAATGGAACCCTCAAAACTATTTGTGTGAAGGTACAAATGTCTCAAATTAGACAAGAGACCCAAAGATGGGGGAATTGAACCCTCCAATTTGTTGGAACTGAGATAAAAGTATTCCACGCTCCTAAGTTTCGCTAGTTCTAGAGGGATGGAACCATTGATTTGATTTTGATAAAAAGACAAAGTTATCAAATTTGTCAAGTGACCCAAAGTTGGAGGAAGTGGACCAACGAGTTGGCTCCCCCAGATACTCAAATATGTGAGATTCCTTAAATTTCCAATTTCTGGAGGGATACAGCTGTTGAATTTATTCCATCCAAGGGACAAAGTTAACAAATTGGTTAATTGACCCAGAGATGAAGGGATCGGACCAACAAGCATGTTGTTGTATAAATACAAATAAACTAATTTGGTTAATTGATCAAGGGAGGAAGGTATAGGACCACTAAGCGTGTTTCCAGATAGATCCAAGGTAACTAATTTGGTTAATTGACCGAGGGAGGAAGGTATAGGACTACCGAGCTTGTTTCCAGATAGATCCAAGGTAACTAATTTGCTTAATTGACCAAGGGAGGAAGGTATAGGACCAACAAGCAAGTTTGCAGACAAATCTAAAGTAACCAGATTCTTTAACTTCCCGATTTCTGAAGGTATGGATCCATTGATACTGTTTAGTGAAAGAGACAAAGACACCAGGTGGGTCAAATTACTTATACTAGAAGAGATGGGACCAATTATTTGGCAATGGCTCAGGTCTAAGTCTACGAGATTTTTCAGGTTCCATATTGCTGGAGGGATGCTACAATGAAAAGGATTTGAGGCCAAGTGCAAGTGTGCAAGATTGGTCAAATGGCCTAGAGTTCGAGGAATCGATCCAACAAAGGAATTCCTTGTCAAATTCAAGGAGAAAAGATTCTTCATATTCTCTAGCTCACTGGGGATGGAATCAATTTCATTGAAAGAAATGTCAAGAACCATTAATCGAGTGAGATTTCCAAGTGAAGAAGGTAACGCACCTCTTAGATTGTTATGTGACAGATCAAGGTGCTTGAGACTTGAAAGAGCACCAATTTGAGGTGGGATGCTCCCCTCCATTCCTAGACTGCTGAGATCAAGCCAAACAAGATTGGGGAGGGAAGAAAAGTTCATTTTTCCAAACTTTTCTGTCACATTGAGATAATCTGATGAATGAATCTCGGTGACGCTTCCAGAAGCGTCGCATGTTACACCAGGCCAGCTGCAATGATGTGCAGATTTAGCGGGATTGTCACTCCACCACCCACTTTTTAGAAGAGCTTCTGCCTCCGATCCCTGAGATTTTGGCTCCAGAGTTGCCCTTGCCCCAAGTCTGGTGCCAAAACCAATTGTACAGTAGAAAAAGAAAGTAGCCCATGTTAGTAACTCCATGGAGCTGCAAATATTATAAAAATGACATGTTGAGTTGATTTTGTCTGCTAAATATAGAAGAGTCTTTTTTTTTTTTTTTTTTTGTGAGTGAAGGTCAAGGTCTATACGGTCCTCTTTGGCAATTCATTTTCCAGGCGACCACTTTCCCTGTTCGATGAGACTAGAGAGAGTGGTTACAATAGTTTTCAACAAACGCTGGTGCATTTCATTTATTTTTTCTCGTGGGCAACAAAAAATCTTAAGCTTTTGCAAAAATGCGTGGTCTTGATTCCATCAGTTACAAATTATTAACTGGTTCAATTTCAATCTGGAGCATTTTGATGTCGAATGAAATTTCTTTTGATTGCAGAAATTAAGCTTGATTAGGACTTCAGTCTTGGTTTCTATTCGAGGACTTTGTATCTATGGATGGATGAAGATGCTCAAGTGTCCCAAAAACCTTCTAGCATTTAGGGTAGAAGCTTCAAATCCCAACTTTGGTTCCAAATATTTTTATCATTTTATATCAAAAGTCTCGACCCCCAATTTGGTTTCGAAAGTTAAATGCTTTTCATAAATTCTTTTAGCTAGTGTTATGATTCCAAACCCAATATTTGGTTTCGGAACTTTCTTGCTCTCAAGATCATAAGTTTTGAACCACGGTCTTAGGTTCTAAACCCCAAATAAAGACATCTGTTTTCCTTTCTTTTCTCAATGTGTGTTTTTGTCATTTCAATTTCAAACATTTCAAATTATTTCAACACTCCATACTACTCCCTCTATCCCAAAACAAATGTACCCAATAATGCTGTCATAATGGAACCTGTTATGGTAGAGAAGGTCATATTTAAGCTTATTTTGTGTATATGTTGAAATGTAGCAGGTTAACTCGCCGTTTCTTGCCTTCTGAACCTAAAGAGGCTATATTCACTGCATTCAGGTCTTCTCTTCCTCTTTTCAGTTTGTTGGTGCTTGGTGGGTCTTCACTTTTCCACTAATGCGAAGTTCCTTTCACACTTGGGGACCCCATCCTTTCCTGACACATCAAAGTCAAGTCAAAGCAGAGTTAGAAGGCTATTCTCTTCAATATTCTCCGTACTTAGAAAAGCCGAGAAATAAATTAGTTCTCATCAGTGGGAACAACTTTTCACTTTTCTCATCCTTTGGTTTCTGAGAAATTGTGGGATGGTGGAATGCAATGACTAGCACCATTAACATGCTGATAGAAAGTCAGAATCTCTGTCCAAGATGAATTACTGTCCATAGAATTTCCAAGGTTTTTTCAAGCAATTTCGCTGCGGGTACCTTGTGCCATTCACTTCTAAATTCTAATAAATAAAAAGCTAGAGAATACGTGTTGGATCTGCGTTCGTACCTGATAAATTTCTGCCATTATTGCACAAACTTGATAAAAGAACACTCTCATCAATCTATTATTGACCCAAGTTAGGGTCAAGATCTCTCTGTATTTTGAAAGATTTGTATCCATTGGGATGAATCGGATCTTCTTTCTAATGAGTGATGACTACGTTTTCACAAACCCAATAATTATATTGAGGATAACGACCCGCCATTATAGCGAAGCACTATTGGTTCTTGAAAAGAAAATCTAGTATCCTCCATCAAATCAACTAGCGCTCGCTACAATAGATCTTTATCTAAAGAAATCGTTCAGATTTCTATCGAATTTGAACGCAGAGTAGACAATTTGAGAACTAGGGTTACGTTTTTCGTGGCACCGACCAATTTGGAGAGAAATTTTACTCATTTACATATTTGCGCGAAACAAAGGAAGAAGACGGTCAAGAAAAGCGGGCCCGCAAAAATTTTTGTCAGGTCACTCACCATTTCCACGTTTTTCTCCGCTCAATGCTTACCACGTCAGCATCTCAGTGACAAATAAAAGGACTAAATTGCCTAAGTATTCAAAAGTTCAGGACATAATTGACCAAAACAAATTCCGGCAAGGTTTGGCATTGACTGTGTTTTCACACCTTCCAATGTGTATTCAATAGTTCTTCACCTCCGACAGAGAGACTGCATGAAAAAGCTTTAGTAATGGTGTACAGTGACCGAGAAACTTATGACACATGCGTTTAATTGCGCCAGATGTTTCCCCATATCACCATTACCATCTTGATCGGTCCCCAAAACTTGATGCTGGACAATCTTCAGGTTAAGCTCATGCATATATATAACTCGAGATGAATTTTTAATTCCCTTTTGAACTAGGAGGAATCATGTGCTCTTTAAAAGGTTACATTAATTTTTTTTTAAAAAATATTGGACAATTAAGATTACTTGCGGTGAAATGTATTTTATATGTTTTAATCTCTTATTTTTATCTTGATTTTGTTGCTATTTGGATGGATAGGATGTGATCTTCAATGGAATTTACATAATTTTCAATCTTTATATAGAAAAAAGACTTACATGCATAATAATATAAGGCTTTGGACTAAATTGAATATCTTTTTAACGTTGAGTGTCTGTATTTGGAGAAGAAAGGTTGCTCTCAGGGACCTAAAGGAATGTCATCGACATTATAGGATCAAAGTGCTCATCATATAGAAACTATAGGACCAAATCTGCTAATTTTCCATTAAAGAAATTGCAAAAAAAATCCGAAAACCCGACACAGGTTTGGTGTTGACACCATGCGCCAAGGCTTTGGAAAATTGCCCAGTGAAACGGACAGAAGTAGCGACACCTAGTTTGGGTGTCGACACCCTAAGCACTTTACAAATTGTTGGCCTTTCATGGTCTTACTTTTTGTCATAAAGTTAGCGTTGCTTGGTCTTAATTTCCTCACCCATCTTTAATAGCTGATAGCAACCTTTGAGTTAAATCAAAACCCTATGAGGATTTAAAAGAATGACTTGATTAATCATGGTGCCATAAGGGACAAAGTGTCTTTTAATTAAGATCGCTCTATATTGTAAGGAATTAGCAGGAGTTAAGACACCACCATCCACCACCACACCCTCCCCTTCCACACACACAAATTTATATAGGTTAAATGTTAATTTTGGTCTCTT